ATGAACCCGAAAAGAGCTAACCCCAAGCCCCAATCTATGCTTCGTCTTTTTAGTTGTTGTTGTGTTTGTTGCACCCCAGTCGAACTCGTTACGTGCCACATTTGGCTGCAAGCCAGGCAGCTACAGAAATTGCAATTGCAGCTGGCCAAATAGACAGAAATAAAAGAACTTTTTAATAGCGAGCCGCACCCAACGTGTTGGGTGGTTGGGCTGGGAGCTAAGCGTAGGGATGTGTGCATGTCAAATCAGAATGTTGGCTTTATATTATCCAAAATTGCAGCTCCCGACGCTAGCTGAAAGCCCGGCACGTAATTCGAACCCAACACAAAAGTCGCCCACATGCGCGCATATTTGCTTAGAGCCAACAAATTGGAAGGCAGCGCCAGCCCAACGACATGGAGCTGCCCTGGCCCTGCCATTAGCCAATCCATCTGAATCCCCGCTCACACACGCATACACGCACACAGACACACACACACATTTGCATAGTGCCACGCCGTCCCCTGGAGGCGCCTCCGACGATAATTTCATGAAATTATAATGCAGCCATGCGGCTTGTCGAGGCGCCGCTCTGCCCACACATAAGCCAGTGCCAGCTGCTGCTGTTGCTGATACCCTGTAATTTGTAGTCTAATCTATGTCTCTCTCTGCTCTTGCAGCATCATCGCGGCAGCAATGCGAGCGAGGAGCGCGTGCCACAGCCGCATTCACCACACGATGGCCACGCACATGGCCATGGGCACAATGGAGGACTGCAGCATTCGGGCTCGCGCGCCACGTTGCGGCACTCGATGAACCACTCGAGCAGCTCCGTCTCGGGCTCCGCCTCGAGCTCGACGCCAGCGTCGCCGCAGCTGAGCGGCGTGGTGAGCGCAACGGGCGGCCAGCTGCTCTCGAACGGACACCATTACCAGTCGCAGTCGTCCGTGTCGTCGAACTCGTCGATCGTGTCGGCCATACCCGCCTCGCAGCGCCTGCTGGAGGATGCGCTGGCCAAGTCGGCGCCCTACCCGATGATTCTGCTGCCCCTGCACGGCGGCTACTGGCTGGACGGCACCGAGCACGAGTGCAGCTATGATGCGCGCGGCAATCCGCAGCTGCCGCAGACCACCTGGATGGCCAAGTTCGAGACGGACGACACGGCCAAGTGCTACAGGCGCTTCTATGCGGCGCGCGAGCACTCCAACCTGGTCGGCCATGACGACCAGCTGGGCCCGGTGCTCATCTCGATCAAGACGGAGAACGTCGCCAATCAGGAGCACATGCGCATTCTGTTGCGCCTGCGCACGGGCACCATGCACGAGCTGATTCCCGTCTCGTGCCTGGGCGCCCAGCCGAGTCCGGCCAAGATGGTCCGGCTGCTGAACGAACAGATCCAGGTGGATAACTTTATGCCGGTGCTCTGCCCGAAAGCCTCGCAGCTGATCAGCGTCTATGATGAGCATGTGCTGGTCTCCCACTTCAAGTTCGGCGTGCTGTACCAAAGATACGGCCAGACCACCGAGGAGGAGCTCTTCGGCAATCAACAGACATCGCCCGCCTTCGAGGAGTTCCTCGACGTGCTGGGCCAGCGCATACGGCTCAAGGAGCACAAGGGCTATCGCGGCGGCCTCGACATACAGAACGGACACACCGGCGACACCGCCGTCTACGAGGTCTTCAAGGAGCGCGAGGTCATGTTCCATGTGTCCACCCTGCTGCCCCACACCGAGGGCGATCCGCAGCAGCTGCAGCGCAAGCGTCACATTGGCAACGACATTGTCGCCATTGTGTTCCAGGAGACCAACACGCCCTTCTCCCCGGACATGATCGCCAGCCACTTTCTGCACGCATTCATTGTGGTCCAGCCGCTGGAGCCGAATACGCCGCACACCCGGTACAAGGTCTCGGTCACGGCACGGGACGATGTGCCCTTCTTTGGGCCGACGTTGCCCAGCCCGGCAGTGTTCCGCAAGGGCCAGGAGTTCAAGGAGTTCCTCCTGACCAAGCTGATAAATGCGGAGAATGCCTGCTACAAGGCCGACAAATTTGCCAAGCTGGAGCTGCGCACGCGCACCTCCCTGCTGCAGAACCTGGTCGAGGAGCTGAAGGAGAAGACTCGCGATTTCCTTGGCGCCGATCTCTCGCAAACCCTTGCTGGCAGCCCCACCCCCGAGACGCCCAAGTCCGAGAGCACCGGCAGCGGCGGCGGCGGCGGCAATGCTGGCACCCGCTTCATAGACACCGTCAAGAAGGCGCTCATTATGCGGGTGCGCTCCCAGAGCGTGGACACGGGCAACGGCTCGCATCCGGACAAGTTCAGTGTGAACACCAAGGTGGGCACCCTCAACTCCAAGAAGGAGCCACCGCCCGAGACCCAAACGCCCAATCTGAACGTAAGTCGGATCGAACCAGACCGCGCCTGCGAACTTTTGCTAATTCCCATTTTCTCTCTTTGCAGACCTGCAGTCGCACGGCCTCCAAGTCGTCGTCAAAGTCCAAATCCTCGAATGAGTCCACATCCTCCTCGCCGGACATCACCTCCCGCCCGGCCAACAACACCCACAGCAACAACAACAATAACAACAGTGCGCATCCAACCGCTGCGAACGTTGCCCAACAACAAAATGGAGGAGTTGCCGCTGGAGCCGGCGGTGGGGGCGGCGGAGTGGCTGCCGTTGCGGTCAGCGCTGCACAGAACGGCGGCATTGTGGGCGTGGCCGTGGCAACCATGTCCGAAACGAGCGATGATTCGAGCCTGAACAGCGTCGACCTGGACCCGATGATGGGTCACCTGGACGGCGGCGCCGCCTACATAGACAGCGACACGGGCCTGGAGAGCATGAGCTCCGCGGAGGCGACCACCAAGGCGTGCTCGCTGTGCCTGGAGGGGGTGCAGGGCACCATCATGGGCAGCTCGCCCAGCAACGAGACCATCATGATGATCGAGAACCTGCGCCAGGAGGTCACGCGGCTCAAGTGCGACAAGCTGGATCTGCTGCGTCAGAATGTGGTAAGTAGCTTACTGGGCGGAGCAGAAGCAGGAGCTGGAACTGTCCACTAATTGCTGCACCATCTTTTACAGACCTGCCAACGCGACATAAAGCGATTGCGCGAACGGGAAATGTCCCTGCAGGGCGATCTGGCGGCAGCAGGACGCGAAATCCTCCGGCTCCGGGATCTCCTCAAGGAATATATGCCGGATACGGCCGCGGCGCCGCTCTCCATATCGCCCATCTAAGCGTCTAACGCGAAAAAAGCACCCCCCCATTTGAGAGCTAAGGGGAAAGCGGAGAGAAAGGAAGAGCAGAAGGAACCACTGTGCCGTGTCTAACACCTTGGAAGCGTCGGGGCAGCCCCTGTATTATATTTAGTTTGCATAGCTGTTGGGAACTCGAAGAGATCGTTGGAAACGCGGAGATTGAGCTTAAGTTGTGGTCGAGCGGGGGACAGAATTATTATTACCGTTAGTAGATATATACTATATAAATATATATGTATAACAGTTACAAACTAAACAAAAACAACAAGAAGAAGAAAAGAAGAAGTAGGAGAAAAAAATCACAGAACACAAAACTCAAAAAGTTACACCAAATATATAGTCTATAAGTCTTTAAGCATATTTAACGCAATGTTAACCCTAACCCCAAAATTTCCCACAGACGCAAAACTAATCCTTATCATAAGTAGAAAGAGAGAGACGAAGAGAGAGAGAGAGAGAGCTATCGATTAGCGTACATCACAGTTACAGTTACAGTTACAATAACATTTACAGTTAGAGTTACAGTTTCAGGTTAAAAGTTCACGTAATAGCTGCATACAAATTATTCCACAATAATCAACACGATTAAATTAAATGAAATATCTAATTAGTAGCAAAGTTTTGTGTAGCGTTTCGCAAAATCTGGCTACACCGTTTTCGTAGTCGCACCTGGCAACCCTGTGACGCTCGTTTAATTCATCACAAACCTCATCAGCAATTAATAACCAATTACAAGAGTAAAAAAAAAATAACAAGATACAAGAAAAACATAACGAAAGCTAACTAAATTAATATATATATTAAAATATACATTTACATATATGTATATCGATTATGTGTGTGTTTTAAGGTTAAAACCCTCGATAGTTTTTAGCTGCAATCGATAAATAATAAACAAACCAACAAACCAACCAACTCTTAACAATTAAGTTTAAGTTGCTTTAAATACTTCAAAATTACTTTAATTATTTAAGTTGAGCGCAGCAGACGCTGCTTTTTGTACATATTATTTTTACAAAAGCATAATTCTCGATCAATTGATCTATCGATCTAACGCAATTAACTATGCAATTTAACGACTAGTTAATAAAAGAAGTACACAAAAAACGATATCGATAAACGATTTAGCCCAGAAATAGTGCAAAAGTTTCGTATAATTTTGAGCAAAGTGGCAAAAATACAAAGCAAATGAACACACATACATTTAGCACACAGAATCAAAGAGTTCTTATCGAGTTTTCGACACAATTATGCAAAAAGAAAATTTATCTATGAATTCTACCATAAGTACCACAAATTGTTTTTGTTGAGAAGCATCATCATTTTTAATGTGTAAAAAACCAACAAATATACATATATTATTATATATATGCAAAATATATGGAATATATACATACAAAAAAACATGTAATTAGTTTTTTCTGCTTGAAATTGTTTTAGTTAAGGAATTTGTATATATTTAACTAACTCTTGCTTGCTTTCAGAAAAAACACAATTCGAATTTCGCGCCATTTTGATTTATATTACCCAACACTGTATGTAGCGAACAGCTTTCTGTACGCTGCCGCATGCCAAGCAGGGTGACCAGCTGTGAGAGCTTTTGGTCATTATGCTCTTTGCAATGTACAGCCACACTGAGTAAGTGTTTATTATTCCGTTTTGTTTTGTTTCATTTGCGCAACATCTTGTTTTTGTTCATTTTAAAATGTTGTGAATTGTACTTTTTTTTAATAATTATTTTTCAATTTAAATCGTTTTTGGTATTTTCACAACTGATCTCAACGCTCTGTTAAAAGAATGCAGAATAATGTTGCTCTCCCTGCAGCTGTTACGCTCTGCGCACGCTCTCTCTGTCACACACATTTGCTTCTTGTACCCTGTGAGTGAGAATCATACAAAGCTTATAAGTTGCTTTAAAAGCAAGTGTATCATTGTTGTTGTTGCTTGTTGTTATTTACACACAGCACAAATTATGAATGTTTGAATTAAAATTAACGACATATGAACATAAAAAGTGATATATTATGTACATTTATATATAAATATTTTCGCTTACAGGGTATTTCATGGGCGAGACACTCATATCATCACGTTGTCTGACTGCTTATATTGCCTAAGGTTTATTTTCAAACTCTCAAAACGCGAGAAACTTTTGCCGTGGTCGGACGTCTCGTCGCCGTCGTCGTCGCGTGGTGGCTTCAGTTTCTTGAATTTGAGAACTGTTATTGTTTCTTTAGGCGCAGCAAAGGTGCGCTCAAGACGTACAAGTAGAATATTTGGCGACGCGGCGCCGCTGAATAAAACACCTTTCACCAGTTCTCAAAATTTGAAATTAAATGAAAGAATCGCGTGTGTTTGACAAGAAGAAATAGTGCGAAAAATTTGCCAATCAGAAGCCAATACGAAAACTGTGAATAACTTTTGTTTTTGCATTTGGTCTTGTTTTTGCTTTTTGGCGGCGGCTGCTGTGTACGTAAAGCATAAAACCGTTTCTCATTAAAATAATAACAACAACAACATTAACACATAGTGTGTTGTGTGTGTGCGCGCGTGTGTGTGTGTGTGTGTCCGAGTGGCTGAGTGGCAATTTTTTCATCGTTATTACTTCATAACAGAGCGCAGCGCCCGCTGCTGTTCTCGGGCTCTCTCTCTCTCTCTCTCTTTCGTGAGCTGTGTGTATATCGCTCTCAGCAGCAGCCGAACCGGCAAGCAGCCGCTTCATCACTGGAGGGTTGCAGCAGCAGCAGCAGCAGCCGCAGCACTCGCGGCCACAACAAAAAGGTAGCAGCAAAGCTTTGGCTAACCCTCGCTCGCTCTCACTTGCGCTCTGTCTATGCTCACCCTCGCACATAACCGCTTAGCCGCTAAAAGGTATTTAATTGTATTTTATTTTATTTAAGTGACAAATAAGCAAATAATTGTGAGTGAGTGCATCTTTGTATGTGTGTGCGTGTGAGTATTCTAACATTTTAATGTGTGTGCGTAAGCAAATGAATCAAAAAATTTAAAACGCAAACAAATAATTAAATACCAAAAGCTGACAACAACAGCAACAACAACTAAATAAATAGAAGAGAGCGAGAGAGAGAGAGACCGTTGTCACTCGCATCTTGATCAGCAGCTCTCACAGCTAAGCCAAGCTTTGACTATGCATGTGAGTGAGAGGGTGGCATCATAGCATGAGATGCCGTAAGTTTTGCCGGCAGCACCAGCAGCTGCTTCTTCTTCTTCTTATTCTTCTTCCTCTTCTTCTCGCGCATCTTATGTTGCTGTTGTTTTGGTTTATGGTCGCAATAAAACGATAATTAACGTTAAATTTATTGGGAAGGGCGCAGCTCTGAGTGGGTGGGCTTTACACTTGAGCAGGCAGACGCTGTTTGTGGGGGCGTGGCACGTCTAAGGCGTTACGTGCACTCGACTAATCAGCCGCCAGCGCCGTAAGTTAGTGATTAAGTCGGGTCTTATCTGCCAAAGGTGGTGAGAGGGGTTATAATGGGTGATAGAGGCGTGGAGGGGGCGGTGAGAGGATAGACACCGTAGATGCAGTGCGCAACGGAGGTGAACGAATCTTCGAGCTAGATAGCAAAATGAACCCCAGGTACAGTTATGTCAAAGTTGCACAATTAAAAATTATCAGCATATGGACTTGAATATTCCGAATGCAATTAAAAAACTAATCAAATAAACGTAATCACACAACACGCGTCCTTAACGACGGGCCCCTATCCAAAAGTTGTCCAACCAACTTTTTCCTCGGAAAGTATCTGCTATGGCATATCAGACTTGAATACACTCTACACACATAGGCTCTAGGCTCTAGGCACTCTAGTCTGCTAGGCTCTATAAAGAGATATTGTTAGCTACCCAGGGTGTTCCAGAAGGGTTGCAAATTCGATTTCTGGATATATAGTAGACACTTAGAGGATGGCTGCTTCTAAGACTCCGTTTTACATACAAATATTCCTTTACTAAATTCAAGTTATTTAATATTCATATTGGGCAAATAACCCAAAAACGATTCGTTTGTAAAGTCAACCATTCTTGATGATTTTTTTTTAATATCTCAGTCAAAAAATGTCAGATTTTGGATTTGTATACCATTTTATACTCGTAAAGATCAGTACTAACGATTGGCATCGAAAAAATCAATATCTAAATTTTGACCAAAATTGACCAAATGGCAAGGTTTTTCATCACGTTTTTTTCCAAAACCGGGGTCGGCTCGAAAATTAAAACTATTTCGATGATATTTTGAATATCGATGGACTAAAAAAAGTTGTTGACCAAAAACCGATTCGTTTGTAAATTTAACCTGTTTTTTTGTAATATCTCAGCCAAAAAATGTCCGATTTTGGTATTTTATACCATTTGGTACTCGTAAGGATCAGTTCTAACGATTGGCATCAAATTGAATATCTAAATTTTGACCAAAATTGACCAAATGGCAAGGGGTTACATAACGTTTTTTGCAAAATCGGGGTCGGCTAGAAAATGAAGCGTTTTTTGATGCATTTTTTTTTCGTTATCTCGGCCAAAAAATGTCAGATTTTGTATTTTTACACCTTATTGAATTTGTACGGATCCCTACTATAAATTGTCATTCAAACATTTTGAATATCGATGGACTAAAAAAAGTTGTTGACCAAAAACCGATTCGTTTGTAAAGTCAACCTGTTTTTTTGTAATATCTCAGCAAAAAAATGTCCGATTTTGGTATTTTATACCATTTGGGACTCGTAAGGATCAGTTCTAACGATTGGCATCAAAAACTTGAATATCTAAATTTTGACCAAAATTGACCAAATGGCAAGGGGTTACATCACGTTTTTTGCCAAAATCGGGGTCGGCTCGAAAATCAAGCGTTTTTTGATGAATTTTTTTCGATATCTCGGCCAAAAAATATCAGATTTTGTAATTTTACACCTTTTTGAATTTGTACGGATCCCTACTATAAATTTTCATTCAAACATTTTGAATATCGATGGACTAAAAAAAGTTGTTGAGCAAAAACCGATTCGTTTGTAAAGTCAACCTGTTTTTTTGTAATATCTCAGCCAAAAAATGTCCGATTTTGGTATTTTATACCATTTGGGACTCGTAAGGATCAGTTCTAACGATTGGCATCAAAAACTTGAATATCTAAATTTTGACCAAAATTGACCAAATGGCAAGGGGTTACATCACGCTTTTTGCCAAAATCGGGGTCGGCTCGAAAATCAAGCGTTTTTTGATGAATTTTTTTTCGATATCTCGGCCAAAAAATATCAGATTTTGTAATTTTACACCTTTTTGAATTTGTACGGATCCCTACTATGAATTGTCATTCAAACATTTTGAATATCGATGGACTAAAAAAAGTTGTTGACCAAAAACCGATTCGTTTGTAAAGTCAACCTGTTTTTTTGTAATATCTCAGCCTAAAAATGTCCGATTTTGGTATTTTATACCATTTGGGACTCGTAAGGATCAGTTCTAACGATTGGCATCAAAAAATTGAATATCTAAATTTTGACCAAAATTGACCAAATGGCAAGGGGTTACATCACGATTTTTGCCAAAATCGGGGTCGGCTCGAAAATCAAGCGTTTTTTGATGAATTTTTTTTCGATATCTCGGCCAAAAAATATCAGATTTTGTAATTTTACACCTTTTTGAATTTGTACGGATACCTACTATAAATTGTCATTCAAACATTTTGAATATCGATGGACTAAAAAAAGTTGTTGACCAAAAACCGATTCGTTTGTAAAGTCAACCTGTTTTTTTGTAATATCTCAGCCAAAAAATGTCCGATTTTGGTATTTTATACCATTTTGTACTCGTAAGGATCAGTTCTAACGATTGGCATCAAATTGAATATCTAAATTTTGACCAAAATTGACCAAATGGCAAGGGGTTACATCACGTTTTTTGCAAAATCGGGGTCGGCTAGAAAATGAAGCGTTTTTTGATGCATTTTTATTTCGTTATCTCGGCCAAAAAATGTCAGATTTTGTATTTTTACACCTTATTGAATTTGTACGGATCCCTACTATAAATTGTCATTCAAACATTTTGAATATCGATGGACTAAAAAAAGTTGTTGACCAAAAACCGATTCGTTTGTAAAGTCAACCTGTTTTTTTGTAATATCTCAGCCAAAAAATGTCCGATTTTGGTATTTTATACCATTTGGGACTCGTAAGGATCAGTTCTAACGATTGGCATCAAAAACTTGAATATCTAAATTTTGACCAAAATTGACCAAATGGCAAGGGGTTACATCACGCTTTTTGCCAAAATCGGGGTCGGCTCGAAAATCAAGCGTTTTTTGATGAATTTTTTTTCGATATCTCGGCCAAAAAATATCAGATTTTGTAATTTTACACCTTTTTGAATTTGTACGGATCCCTACTATGAATTGTCATTCAAACATTTTGAATATCGATGGACTAAAAAAAGTTGTTGACCAAAAACCGATTCGTTTGTAAAGTCAACCTGTTTTTTTGTAATATCTCAGCCTAAAAATGTCCGATTTTGGTATTTTATACCATTTGGGACTCGTAAGGATCAGTTCTAACGATTGGCATCAAAAAATTGAATATCTAAATTTTGACCAAAATTGACCAAATGGCAAGGGGTTACATCACGATTTTTGCCAAAATCGGGGTCGGCTCGAAAATCAAGCGTTTTTTGATGAATTTTTTTTCGATATCTCGGCCAAAAAATATCAGATTTTGTAATTTTACACCTTTTTGAATTTGTACGGATACCTACTATAAATTGTCATTCAAACATTTTGAATATCGATGGACTAAAAAAAGTTGTTGACCAAAAACCGATTCGTTTGTAAAGTCAACCTGTTTTTTTGTAATATCTCAGCCAAAAAATGTCCGATTTTGGTATTTTATACCATTTTGTACTCGTAAGGATCAGTTCTAACGATTGGCATCAAATTGAATATCTAAATTTTGACCAAAATTGACCAAATGGCAAGGGGTTACATCACGTTTTTTGCAAAATCGGGGTCGGCTAGAAAATGAAGCGTTTTTTGATGCATTTTTATTTCGTTATCTCGGCCAAAAAATGTCAGATTTTGTATTTTTACACCTTATTGAATTTGTACGGATCCCTACTATAAATTGTCATTCAAACATTTTGAATATCGATGGACTAAAAAAAGTTGTTGACCAAAAACCGATTCGTTTGTAAAGTCAACCTGTTTTTTTTGTAATATCTCAGCAAAAAAATGTCCGATTTTGGTATTTTATACCATTTGGGACTCGTAAGGATCAGTTCTAACGATTGGCATCAAAAACTTGAATATCTTAATTTTGACCAAAATTGACCAAATGGCAAGGGGTTACATCACGTTTTTTGCCAAAATCGGGGTCGGCTCGAAAATCAAGCGTTTTTTGATGAATTTTTTTCGATATCTCGGCCAAAAAATATCAGATTTTGTAATTTTACACCTTTTTGAATTTGTACGGATCCCTACTATAAATTGTCATTCAAACATTTTGAATATCGATGGACTAAAAAAAGTTGTTGAGCAAAAACCGATTCGTTTGTAAAGTCAACCTGTTTTTTTTTTAATATCTCAGCCAAAAAATGTCCGATTTTGGTATTTTATGCCATTTGGGACTCGTAAGGATCAGTTCTAACGATTGGCATCAAAAACTTGAATATCTAAATTTTGACCAAAATTGACCAAATGGCAAGGGGTTACATCACGTTTTTTGCCAAAATCGGGGTCGGCTCGAAAATCAAGCGTTTTTTGATGAATTTTTTTTCGATATCTCGGCCAAAAAATATCAGATTTTGTAATTTTACACCTTTTTGAATTTGTACGGATCCCTACTATGAATTGTCATTCAAACATTTTGAATATC